TTCCTGCTCCCTGCGTCCCGGGAACAGCTGTACCAAAAAGATGCTGAGAATCTCTGCAAGGCTCCAAGGAAAAGATATTAACACAGGAGGGGAGCAGCAGTGATATAATAAAAAGTCATAATAAAAGAGAGAAGCCACTGAGTGGATTAGCAGCCCAAACGCTGCTTGGCTCTCGGTCTCCTTTCCTCCAGTTTTTCTGCACCGCATGGTCATCTGCTCAAATTCCTCCACCCCAAAGACACTCAGCTCCTGAATTTCAGATCTCCTGGAGGTGTCCACGCTGCAAAGCCCAAGGGCATGGCTGAGAAACCTAACTGCACTCAACTCCACATAGCAGGCATTAGATGCTGCATCACTCGAGTTCCTGTGCTCCACTACAGCAGGGTGACTCATTCTCATGGGGAAATAAAAGGCAGATTTGGAGCTTGGTGCGTATTTCTCAGGTACGGCAAATGTAGCAGGATACATCCTGCTGTTTTAAGAACCCCTGGTACCTGCCACACACCATTTCTACCCTACTTTGTGCCAGTGCAGATGGTTTTTCCCTGCCCAGGCTCTGGGTCAAGGTGGGATGCAGAGGTGGGGTGTCCCCATGGGGAACGAGCAAACCTGCAGTCCTCACCCTCCACACACCCAGATCTGACACCCAGCACAAAGCATGCATGGACAACATTCCCCTTCACTCCTTTAGAGACACCCGGGGAGATACCGGGGACACAGAGCATCTGCCAACAGGAGCCACCTGTTGGCTGTGGCAAGAATTTTGCTGTTGGGGAGAGTCGGGAGCGAAGGGGGCGGCTGTGGTGGCAGCAGCTGTTCCCTGACCGCAGCCCTCCCGGCCACACAGGGCATTTAAATTTTCAAGCACACTCACTACAGCTCTTTTCTCCACCATTCCCATCCAGCTCACAGAGACCCTGTCCCCAGGAGCCACCAACCCACGAGATACCCATGGGTTCACTGGTGGCCAAGCTCCTTCTGCCCACCATCAGCACCTTGGTCTTCCTCCCCACCATCAGCATCGCGGCCAAGCGGCGTTTCCACATGGAAGCCATGGTCTACTTCTTCACCATGTTCTTCGTGGCGGTAAGATATCTCCCATACTCCCCCCTGCATGTTTCATTCCCCCAAATGCCCCTGCATCAGGTCTCCACCGGGAAGGGTAGCTGGATCTCACCCAACAGCAGGAAGCCTGACCCCCAGAATATCCATATTCAGTTATTTCCCACTGTGTGCAGCACCGAGTAGCTGATTCTTCAGTGTACGAAGAATCCACATAGATTTAATGGTGTTCTATGGTTGGAAGGTTAGGGAGAGGGTCTGGGTGCAAAGGGACTTGATTGCTTTGCAATGTTTTGGAGCTGTTTTTTCCCTTTGTTTTACAGCTGGTAAGTGGCCATGGTGAATTTGGGGTTTAAATTGTATCCAGAGTCTCTTGCTAAGCCTCTGTCATTTTAGCCAAAAGCACGCAGTCAAATTATTGATTTTGCAATTGCTAAGTGGTGATGGGAGCAATACTGGAGTCAGGGGAATTTCTGCACTGAGAAAGGAAAGACTAAAACATGCTGATGAGTTATCAAGAAAAATAATGATTAACCCTCCACCCTGGCAGAGTGATTTGAAAATGTGTTTTGCCAGGCTCAGAATTGCCCTGCTTTGCCTTGTGTGAGAACGAGTGGAGAAAATCCATTGTCTCTACATATACAAAATAATTTGTATTCCTGCTCCCAGCAGTAAGCTGCCCTGTGCTTTGTGTTGCTGCTAAGTGCCTCTGTACACACACGGGCTGAACACCTAAAGCAGCATTTCCACTGGAAAAAATATCTCCTATTTAACCCCATGGCAATGCTCTGCTAAAGAGTGTGAAGGAAACAGCCCAGCAACCCAATCAATATTGCATTTGCTCCCCACCCATCTCAAGGCATCTCATAAAGACTGTCACATCCCTTGAATGGAGAGAAACTGAGGCGGGGGATAGACAAAGGACCTTCCCAGTGTGACAAGAACTCCCCCAGAAGCACTGAGGGTAAAGTGGGGCTCTGAACCAGACCAGTCACTTATTCCCGAGGATTCACCATTTAAGCCTCCAAATAAAGCACAATGCAGGGGGGAAATTCTGCCAGTTCCATAAAACTTGTTAATAAAAACATCTCAACCAATCCTCCCACCCCCACCCTCTCCAGCTCCCCGGGGAAGCCAGACATCTACAATTTCATTTTGCACTGGTTTTGTGTGTCTGCTCCACCTCCCTGAGAAGTCAATAGGAAAATTGGCAAGTCTTTCGATGGAAGGTGGAACAGGTCCTTGCCGAAGAGACTGAAGACGCAAAATATCTGTGCGTGGAGAAGGAAAGGCAGCTGCCAGCATGGTTGGGAGGGGGTAGGAAGGGCAGCAGCTGCTGCTGTTGCCTTTCTTGTAGCATCCCACTCCTCCTCCCCTAGGAAACCTCATCAGAGCAGTGAAAGCATATGCCCATCGCAGACAAGTGCTGTGTCGCGAGCCAGAAACACGTTCTTCATCTTCTACCCTTTCTTCCCCCCATCTCTGGACTTCCCGAACCCAATCACAAACAGAGAAAAGAATTACAGCCGTGGTGCAATCTTTTCTAGAAACCAGAGTGAGCCAAAGGACTTGCAGCAATTCCCTTTATAAATAATATCAGCATCCCTGCTGGGCCATGACAGCGAGGATTGTTCCAAGGGCGTCCTGCCAAGCAGTGAAGGGACTTCAGAAATAGTGAAGCACGCTGGTGCTACCACTTGAAAACTTGCAGGGCTGAGTGCTTGGAGGAAAAGGCGAGCTCCCAGGCAAACACTGGGAGCATTCCTCTAATCGCACTGGAAAAATTTCGCTTGGCTTGGTTCACATCTAATGTTGCATGACAATGGTTTTTCTGCAAATATCCTAATCAATGAGCTAACGGGCAGGAACCAGCAAAAGGCTTTTAAGGGAATGCACTAATGAGTGAATTCCCCAGTATTCAGACTCTGGCCATATAAACCCTGTTTAGCCTGGACAGTGACCTGGCATCTATACACATTTCATCAGGACACTCATTTTGAATTGTTTTACAAGAATCTTTCGCAATTAGAACCATAACCGCAGAGTCCTCCTTCTGCTGGAGAGACGTCCCCGCGCTGCCTGAGACTCGGCTCAAAGACGCTTGGTCATCAGATTGCAAATTCTGGCACAGACCAGAGGCAAACTAAAGCTTGTCCACAAATAATTTGTACCAAGAGAGAAGAATGCCTATTCTCAGGCAGTTTGCAATTGGGAACTGTGACATTGTACCTCAAATACATTCATTATTGCATATCAGTGACCCTGGTGTATTTGAGACTGTTCTGTTCCTGGCTGGCCATCCTTTCATCAGCCATACAAAGACTATTTCAAACCAGCTGATAAGAGCCTTTACCTTACTGGTCTGTGGGTAAGGAACTAGTTCTCTAATGCTTTTTTCTTTTTCTTAATAGTTTTATCATGTATGTGATGGCCCCGGTTTATCAGTGCTGTGTTTCATGCGCTATGATATCCTGGAGTACTTCAGCATCTATGGAACAGCTCTGTCCATCTGGGTGTCCCTGATGGGTAAGCACTGGTCTCTCATGGTTCATACCGAGCACCAATGTTTGCAGGTTGGGCAAGATCTATCAGCATTGCTGGTGGGACAGTTAGGGGGTACAGTCCCCAGAAATGGTGCTACCTTTGACCTCCCATCTGCAAGACTTAGGTCTGAGATTGTCTTTTCTGGAAGCCAGCCTGTGCTATCGTTTAATTATTTTTCTCTTGTTCATGCCTTGGAAAGCCATTGCTCTTGGTGGGGTCAAGACAGACATGAAAACTGTCCTGTGTGATGGCTGGGGAAGTTTTACTGTTGCAGATAAACAGAGCTCTGGCGCCGGGTGATTGTTTTCTTCTGCCTTCACCAGCTCTTATGTATGTCCTTACAACAGCAGAATTATTTATTTCAAATTGGCAAGTAACACATGCAGCCTTGTGCTTTCATTCAAGGCAGGACAGTACTATGAGATGACTTACGTTTGAAACCTCATATATCAGGGAATCTCCCATTTCTCCTGATTTTCCCCATCCTGAGCCCATCAGCTTCTTCTGTTCTAACTTGGGGGCATTAAGAAATACAGAATCTACTACTTCCCTTGGCAACATGTGAAACAAAGTGGTTTAGTCAAAAGAAATATATCTTCCTAGTTTATCAAAAGCCTAGTCTGGGCTGATGGGAAGTGTTAGATCTGCTTAGAAAAAGCAGAAATACATTTCACTTCCTTTTTATTAAAAATCCTGGCCCTTGCCCTATCACTCAGTTTTCTTTTTCCCACGTTCCCTTCACTTTCTTTTTTTCTCATTTTGTTCCTCATTTACCACTGAAACAAGCTACAATAGAAATGAAAAAAAAAAATGACAGAACTAAAGAAGAATTAAAATTTGCAACCTATTATTTTCCTACTCTGTCAACATGGTTTTTGGAAGGACGTGAGTATTTCTGACAGAAGAGATTAGGTTAAGGAGAGAGATGAGGGAAGAGCCACTTTCCAATAGCAAAGGCTTTGCTCAGCAGATTTGGACCATCTCTAGCAGCCACACACCCAGTCCCCGCTCCAGCCAGGCAGGGTCCCCAGCCCTCCTGCCCATCCTGTCACCGGGATGATGCGCAGCCCCAGAACTCTCTTGGGGCTAAAATCTTCCATGCAGGGAAAAATGAGTGGGGGAAATATTAACCTTAGAAATGTCTCTGTTCCCCCCAGGGCGCGAGTCTCAGGGTGGGCGCCCACACTGTCTATGGCACTTCAGTGCTCTCTGCTCAGCTAGAAAAGGCAACAAGGCAAATTGTCTCCAAAGGGCATTTGCAGTAGATAACAGCAGTGTCAGGGTAGGTCAGAGCTGATCCAGATGCTTTGGCTCCCTGTAGCAAAATTCAACTTGATTGCTTCATTACTACATTCAAAAACCTTGCAAAAAAAAAAAAAAACACAAATGTCGGACTACAACGTTTAAAATATTGACCCTCAGGGAAACAACAGAGATTAAAATGCGGACATTATCCCTTAGCCAAACTCCCTATAAAACCACGATCCAAGGACATGGAAGGTGTGGTGACTGAAGCCCAGGGAAGCCTCTTGCTGTGGCTTGTAAAGCCCAAGCACACATGTGCGGACACAGACCCTCGGGCACACTTCCCGGAATGCAAATCCAGGACAGTCATAACACAGCTGTGCGAGCTGGAAAAGCATGGAGCCCACTGGGATCCATAACTTTTATCAGTTATTACCCCATCCTGTGCTAAACAAAAGCCTCTAATAATTTACTCGCGCTAGCGACTTCCAGCTTGCAAACCTCAGGCAGGTGCCGGCACGACCAGGCAGCCTGGTCCCCATCACACCAGTGAGCACTGTCCTATTGGAGTGGGGTGATGGAGGCTGCATTGGGGTAAGCTGGCAAGTTTAGGAGGGTTGGAGAGGAAGGATGGACCCAAGAGCTGATCGCAGACTCACGAGGTGCAAGTGTCTTTGCAATCGCCTCCGACTCCTTTGTCGAGGCAAGAAAGAGAAATACGGGTGGGAAATGTCCTTTAGCTTCCATACGCAACACTGAACAGAAGATCTTTTAAATCAGCTCCTAGACTTACCACTCAGATGCCTCAGGGTGGTTTGCTTTGCCCCTGTGTTGCTCAGTTTCCCTAGTTGTGAGGCATAAGAAGGGCAAATCAGACCTGGATGCAATGCTGAGGGTCCCCAGGGCAGGTGGGACAGACCCCAGCAAGATTTTAGGGGAGCAGCCAAGGAAGGGGGTGAGTGAGCTGATGCTCCCTTTGCTTGGTGCCACACAGCCCTGGCAGAGTTTGATGAGCCAAAGAAATCGACCTTCATCATGTTCGGCGTCCTCACCATCGCCGTGAGGATCTACCATGACCGTTGGGGCTACGGTGTCTACTCAGGACCCATTGGTACAGCTGTCCTGGTGATAACCGTGAAATGGGTACGTAGGGAAGGGCACTGTGCCGGGGCTTTGCCGGGTGCTTGTGGTGGGGAAGGGGCTGAGCCCTGCATGGAGGGGTCCAAAAACCATGCGGGCAGTTTTCAACCTTGAGGTCCAGCTCTCACAGCACAGGCCATCATGGTGATGAAGCAGCACTCCTACTCCAACCCAGGCAGCAAGCAGGCAGACAGCAAGCAGCCTTTGCGATAAACGCCAGATTCAATCAGTCTGAGCAATCTACCATATCTCCTGGCCCTGCGTTTCTAATCAGGAAAAACATATTTATGGAGTTTTTACAGCTACCCAGATGCAGAGGGGGCTGGTAAACTGCCACGGAGGCGGTGGAAGAGATGCACAAAACACGCAATAAAGTGGGGAGGAATCTGCCCGAGTCTGGCTGGGACAGTTGGGCACTGCACTGCAGCCCATGCCCCACTCACAGCAGACGCTGTGGACCCGGGTGGGAGAGTGGTGTGGGGCCATGGGCAAGGAGGAGGATTCAGTGATAGGATAAAAATTGCAGGAAGATGCTGCCAAGCATCTCGGAATACAGCGATGCAAGTCCCAGCTGGAGACTGTCTCTAAGCCCGGCCTAACTGCCCAGCCAGCAGCTAAAAGCAAATGGTCACAATAGGGAGGGGATGGGCAAGGAGAAGACCATGGGACCACCCTGCATCCCCCAGCCTGCGGATGCTGTACTGTGATCTGCTCTCCCAGAAACTGTGTTTGTGAAGGCACACACTCCCTGAGCTGTGTTTGGGGCTGAATATTAAGAAACCAGCATTATGATCAGGAAAGGAGCAGGAGAAGCCATTGCAGGCAGAGGAGCTTCCTTCCTGGAGCCTGGTCTTCAGGCTCTGCACGGTTTTATTTCAGCATTCCTGGGATCTTTTGGATGTGAAGCAGCCCAGTAAATCCAGGTTAATACACATGGTGTGCTCTCTCTTTACTTACAGCTACAGAAGATGAAAGAGAAGAAAGGGCTCTATCCAGACAAGAGTGTCTACACCCAACAGATCGGTCCTGGCTTCTGTTTCGGGGCATTAGCACTGATGCTGAGGTTCTTCTTTGAGGTACCTGTTTGGACACTCAATCAACCCAACTTTACAAGGTGCAAAGGATGTTACCAGGATAGGAGACTTCCCCCTTCTCACTGTTGGGCTGCATCCAGCCTTGGACAAAATCAAGCTCAGGTGCAGGTCTCTGGGGTCTGGTGGCAGCGACAAGGGTTCCCTCTGTTGTCCCCATCCCCTGGCCCGTTAACTGTGGTGTGGGCAGGGACAGATGTGACAGTGAGCGACACGCAGAGTGATGCTCGCTCTCTTTTTCCCCCATTAAGTGACTTGCAAGGACATGGGCCCAGCTTTCTTCAGCCATACATGGTCCTCAAAATGGTTGAGGACCCCCACCTTGAGTGGGGTTTTTTTGGAAACGGGGCACGGGTGACTTAAGGACGCCTTGCAGAGCCACGGCAAGGACTGGATATGACCCAGACATGGCTGGATCCAAAGCTGGCTCATGCCAAATAAAAGACTTTGAGCTGACTCCCAGGGGCACTCAATCTCATATTTGTAACTTGTTGCTCTGATTGCTGGCCAGTCTGTCTGTCCTGCACAAAAGGGTTCGTCTGTCCTACACGGGGAAGGCGATAACCCCCCGACACAGCTGCTGGTCACGCCTGCACTCAGCCCTGTCCTTACAGCTGCTCTGTGCATTGGGAGTTGCTAGATACAACCTCACAGTCATCCCTAAGGATTATTTTTCAAAGCATTTAGTAATTGCAAATTCTAGCAGAACATAAAAATGTCACTTAGCAGAAACCGCCTCCCCCCATGCCCTGGCCTCGCCGCCGCGTCCTTTGCGGGGTAATGAAACACTTCATTCAAGAATTGGGAAATGTGCAAATTGGAATGTGTTAAATCCACTTTTTTTTTTTTCTTTTTTTCTTTTTTTTTTTTTTGTAAGGCTGGAAATCCTTTCTTCTCTGACAGCAAAAAGAGGCAGAAGGCTCAGAATGGTTTTTTGCTTTCTTTTTTTTTTTTTTTTTTTTAATTCCTTTCCTTTTGCCTACTTGTAGAAAACTAATGTTTTGCACCTAAAGTAGAACCTCCAGCCATGGCAGGTCTTGCTAACGCTCTCCTCACTTGCAGGAGTGGGATTACACCTACGTGCACAGCTTCTACCACTGTGCCTTGGCCATGGCCTTCGTGCTGCTGCTGCCCAAGGAGAACAAGAAGGCTGGGAGCGCCGGGACCCCTGCCAGGCTTGACTGTTCCACGCTCTGCTGCTGTGTCTAAACTGCCCTGGGTGAGTGGGGCACTTGCTTTTCTGCTTCTAGGGTGATGGAGAGGAGAAACCAACAACAAAAAGCCTTTTCTCTGGGACATGGGCACCTTTTCCCACCAGCTCTGTGCATACCCTGGGCTTTTTTTCCCTGGAAAGACATCACCTTTCCACCATCAGCCCTAGCAGAGGCTGTGCTTGCAATATACTTGCACTTCTCCCTGAAGAAGCACTTATCTGGTCTCTGACCCTGTCCCTGGTGACCCTTGCGTTCTCAGACCATGTCACTACCCAGGCTGTCCCCTGCACCAGCCCAGGAAGACCCAGGTTGTCCCCTTCATGCAAGTTTTCCCAGCCTGAGCACACAGGGCTTTGTTTGTAACGCCCAATTAACAGAACCTGTATTTTTTGTGAGATATTTACTATTTTATTTATGCATTCTCCTGATGTAAATAATATATACTAACAAAACCTTTACGAGTGTGCAACACCAGTGCTTCCTAAGCAGTGTAAGAAAATTCCCAGCTAGGCTCTGTTCCCTTGAGGAGAGATGCCAGCCCCAAAGCAGAGCTCTGGGCATGACCACCCCCTCCCCTGCCCATAGCATCCCCCCCCATTTCTGGAGGGACCTGTGACATTGGGCACTTTATCCTTGAGACCTGCCCAGTGGCATGGGCAGCAGGTGCGCTTGTGGAAAGCCTCATTCCTATGGAAAATACATGGAAAATTAGAGGCAGAGAAAAGAAGCTCCTGGAGGGAAGGGGGGAGGGCTGTAAGCCTATAACATCTCCTCTAACAGACTATTTACTATAGAAGAAGTGTATGATTTATTTAGACTGTCTGGGAAAAATGCCAAGACTATATGTCATGGACAATTAGAGCAGTATTGATATACAGTGATGTCCACAGAAAGCCCACATTAAGCCTGGGTTCCTCTGGAAGAGAAATCCAGCCCCGGTCATTCATCAGAGCAACTTCCTGCGATGGGGCAACAACCAAAACTGAATAAGCTTCCAACAAAAATATAAATGAATTATGAACCCTCGAGTATCCAAGAGTCACTGGCAAGTGGTGGCACAGCTGATGCAGCTGCACGAAGAGGCAGAGCTAGCAAAGAGTTTTCAAAGGGTTCACCGGCACCTAAACCAACACCGCACACCAGGAGCATCCTGAGTATCCAGCCCCCAGGTTGTTCTGCAAGATGCTCTGAGGGTTTGTGTGCAACACTTCCCCCATTGCTTGCACGCTACTGCAGTACTTTGCCACATGAGCACTGCTCAAAGCATCCCCAAAAAAACAGTCCCAAGTGCTTTGACTCCTAATTCAGAGCTGAGTGTGAGAAACAGAATCACAGAATCGTAGTGGTTGGAAAAGACTGAGTTCATCGAGTCCAACCATAACACCTTAGCACTATATGCAAGAGCTGGCTCTGAGGGTGCGCAGCCGCTTCCTGAAGGGTCACCCACATGGGTGTCCCATGGCCAGGGCCACAGTGGCCCTCACAGAGCCACCCTGAGCACATCTCTGGGTGTGCGTCACCTCTCGAGCAAATGCTCAACACCAACCCTCCCGAGGAGCCTGACCAGCAGCCTCCATTGCTCCGCACGCCTTTTGCCGCTTGCTGCAGCCACTAATGGGAGTTATCCGACCTCCCAACTCATTTTGTGACTGCAAACAAGGGGGGGCTCATTGGCTAAAGGCCCAGCTGAGTAAATGAAAGCTCCTGTTCCCACCTGCCACGCATCCAGGTGTTACACCAAAAAAAAAACCAACCCAAAAACCAAACCCCAAAGCACATTGGATGCAATAAAACCCCAGGCAAGGCAACTTTTTTCCCCTCTCCCTGCTGATGTCCCGGGGTGCTGTTCCAGCTGTGCAAACCGTCCATCCCTTTGCACCCAGTGTGGGACCAGCACCCACCCTTGGGACCAAAATGCCTCTGGGCACATCTGCAGGGTCCCACCCGCAGCATCAGCAACCGGCGCAGCTGGACCAGGCACCCTGACACCCAGAAGAAGGGTGCATGGGCTGAATTTGGCTATCACTGGGCCAGGATATCCCCTGCAATACAAATGCAGGGAAATATTATAAAAATTTACAGCAACGTAGACAAAACAGTCTCTTGTAACCTTTTAGTGCTGCCGAGAGCTTTGCCTGTAAGAGCTCTTGAGCCCCTGCCAGAAATTCTTGCTGTTTTCATAAGAGTAGGTGTTTTCATCTAAGGTGCAGTCTGAGTGCTGTGACCTTTGTCATGTCTGCTACTGAAATTTCCTGCTTCTCTGTTATTCTCTTCTTTGGTAAGACGATATGAAACCCAAAACTTTTATTGCCCCTTTTAAAGTGTCTTTATAGCTCCCCGTCTACTTCATATACTGTCTTATTCTTGAACACTGGGATATTACTTATGGGATCCGGGCTTGATGCTGCAAAAGGCATTTGGGTTTCATGAAGCCCAAACTGCCTGGGTTTTTTTAAGATCAGCCAGGGGGGGGGAAGAAAATAATTAAAAAAAAGAAAACAGAAAAAAAGGAATGAGAATGGAGAGACTGGTTTTCTGCTCCAGAGGCATCAGCATCTGCTACCAGTGCAGCGCAGAGAGCAGTGAGAAGGCGGGTGGGAGCCTGTCAGCCTACCCCCTGCCCCACCAGCCTTCCCAGGCACCAAACCCTATGTGCTGTGTGTCTGGGCCATCACAGAGCGTGAGGTGCCCACTGGTTCTGTAGGGACAGCATCACACAGACCCTATTCCCATGTCTCCATCCCCTGCCAGCTCTGCCCCAGAGCCAGTGGCTCAGATGTGGTTGGACACAGCAGCGGGTGCCCAATCTGGTGTGCAGTGGCAGCTGGGGCACATCTGTCCCAGAGCTGGCACTGGGGCAGGTCAGCCCTGCTGGGGGGTTCCCATGCACCTCATTTCCCTGCTTGGTTGCAGCATCGGGACAGACCACGTGAAGGATGAACATCCCCAGGCGAGAGCTGATGTGAAGCCACAGCAGCCGGGTGCCAATGGCAAATCTTCATGCTCCCATCCTACATCTTGGGTTGCAGGACATCGCCATCCCAGGATGACCCTGTTCCGGAAGGGGGGACCAGGGGACCTCGCTCACCTCCACACGCTCCCCAGCATCCCCACCACGGGAGGAGCGGGGGCCCAGTGTGCCAGCGGGACAGGGCTGGCCCCCAGCGGCAGCCCCATGGTGGGGACCTTGCAGCCGACACAGGGTCAGTGGGCAGTGGCGGGGCTTGGGTTGGTGTGATCAAACCATCCCTTCCAGGTGACACACATCTCCCCACACTCACCTACGGCAGGGCTGGGACAAGAGGGGAATTAGGACCTACTCCTGCTCAAGGGGAGGCTTCCAGAGATGTCTAGTTGGGCTCGTTGCCAGCTAATCTTCCAAGCAAACCTTATCCAGATCTCTTTGGCTGCAGAAATTGTAAAACCAGCCAGGCCAAAACATAAAAGCCTGGTTTCTGCTGCCAGCTGTATGGGGCACTCCACAAATCGCCTTATCACCATGTGATTTTGAAAGACCACTTCAGGTTTTTTCCATACACTGCTATTCCCTCCTCACCCTCGCACCACCATTCCTCCGTGCGCTTTCCAGTGGTGCGCCAGCCCTGCCAGGTCAACTCATAGACCATGGGACCAAGGTGTCTTTCTAGCCATTTTTATGCCCTTTACGCCACAGAGATTCTCTCCCACTTCAGAACATGCTGCTGCTCCAGCCTGAGGCAGATGCAGCTCATTGGGAGCAGTGATGGACAACCCAAGGAGATGTACCCACGGGGACTTCCAGGGAAGTCCTGCCTCTTCAAATTTCTTTCACCAAAGAAACTTGATTCCCCTGGAAATTCAAAAGTGGTGATTTTTTGTGCACATAAAGGCAGGAGTTCCGTGGGAAGCCGCAGGGAGAGGTCTTGCCCTGGGGTCACCCATCTTCCTCCAGTTCTGACATTCAGGAGATATCTGTACCCTGTAACATGGATATGCCAGGTCTGCGGGGACAAATGTCCTACACAGACCCAGGGCTCCACAGCCCTGGGACATGGGACAGATGCACAATGAGAAACCAGCCCCATCCATCAACCTGGAAAAAAAGGGAAGATGGAGCAACTGAAGCACCTATTGGGACTACTTGATATCTCTCAGCTTCACTCCAACTATCCCAGCCTCAAGACAATGTTTTTCTGGTGCACAAAGAGGGTCACCTGCATTTCAGAGGGGTCAGGGAGCACCCAGGAAGAGCAGGGTGGGATTTACCATGGCTAGTGCTGTTCTGCAGTAGATGCAACCATGAAGATCAGTACAGTGGAACCTCCTGCATGGCTGCAAACCAGCCTAACCCAGTACCAACAAGAGAAAAAAAAATATGATGCATCAAGGATTTTGCTTAAAACAACACCATGCAATGTCACACAAGGTTTCTCTTCTCCTCCCTCTTTCCTCTCAGCCTTTCAGCAAGATTTCCAACCAAACTTTCTAGCCCAGTTGGTGCAGGCAGGGCAGGCCCATCCCGGTGCTGCTTAGCAGCCTCCGGCAGCGACGGGGTATTTTCGGGGCATGGGGAAGCTCAGCTGCAGCACAGCAGACAGGCTGAGCCGCTCGGCTCCTGGGGGAATCACACTGGGAGCCCTTCGCACACTCACAGGTGTCCGCTTCCCCCAGCGGCACCGGAGACGGACATGGATGGTGGACTCAACCCAAGAGACCAAACCCAAGCTCCGACCCAGGGAAGGGCAGATGCAAGGCAGCCGGACTCGCTCGGCTCTTGTGGGGCTGCTTTCACAGCTGCAAAAACCCACTCCAGGTCCAGGTTTGGTGTCTCCAACCTCCCCACTCCTCCGGCGGAGCAGTCCCAGGGAGCAGCGGTCCAAGGTTTTTGGTTTAGGCCAATCTCCCAGAAATTCTGTCATCATGCAGTGCATCACGCACACTCCCGGATCCGCATTACACAGAGGATGGCCCTGCTCCAGCGCCTCTTAAAGTCAGTGGAAAAACCCTCCCTCGCTACGGTGGG